AAAATGGCACTTTCGGCTAAATGCCGAAAGTGACATTTTCCTGCCGTTTTGCCGGTGCGGCCGTGATTCCTTTCATCCCCGCTGGGACACAGAGCACCTTCTGCACTTCGGGCCACATGAAGCCAGCCGATATACGGCTGAAATCTGCCTTACATTCCTGAAGTGAATAGCCGGACAGCGTTCGGCTCACTTCACTTCGGGTTGGTTATTCACTCGGCTGCCTACGGCAGCTTAGTGAGTAGAGCCCACTGTTATTTATCTTCCTTGCTAATTGGAGATTCTTTGCAAAGTGAATTTACACCACATTCACTAAGTTCAGGAAATATTCCCTTGCAAAGTGCAAATTACCTTGCAAACTGAATAGCCTATTTGCTTTTAGTAAATCAACCCCAAGGAATCTGCGATATTCCCAGTAGACATTTTAAACCCTGATACTGGTTTTCTAACAAAATATTAAACATTAAACTTTACACTTAAACATTAAACTTAATACTATGTATGTTTAGATTATGCTGAATACCTGAAACCTTTAAAACTACAGAAATATGATGCACAGTGAAATGTCCGAAAACAAGAGGTATCTGCATGCATAATATCCATCTCAAGATGGAAAAGACAAGACTAGAAAATAAGAAGTTTATTTCTTAAGTGCACATTTAGTGCATTGTGCCATATTATGTGCATAGCAGGATGTTGTGGAAACACAAAGGAGGTTTAGGAGAATATATTTACACTCTTCCTTTTTGTCACGTTCACTTCACAGACTGCTGTTCTCTCTTTCTCTCTGCTCCAAAGTGCACGGCATGAGATTCAGCAAATTAAAGGAGTTAATTGATTGTGAGTGACAAGAGGTTGTCTGGGTTACCCTTAAATCATGTATTTAGTAAAGATTGCAACTTGAAAGTTCAGTTCTGTATTTATATTAACTACAAGATTTAAATTAGAAAATAAATGTTCTAATTTTGAAGGCAATTGTGAGAAATCATTTTATTAAAATGTTTTTATTGCAACAAAGTTGCATTTAAGGTATAATGCTAATATTTTAGCTGAAAAGGGTTGAAATGCTTAGACTCTGCTGCCACTATGTGGTCAGTGTTTGCAGTGCAATTTTTTCAGTAAGAGTAGCTGCTGAATTTTTTCCCCCAGAACCTCAAGCTGATAAACAGTATGTGTGATTAGCAAAATCTGAGGAATACACAAACATGACTAATTGCTCTATCTCATTGTACCAAAGACTATGTAAAGCGAGGGCCTTGACATTTGTGTCAAGTTTAACAGTTCAAACCTACCCAGAGACATTAGTATATGGGACAACCTTTAAGACTAACATCAACAATGTTTACATGTTTCAGATACCTTTTAACAATGACTTGGAATCACATTAGTGCTTTGACTAGCAGTCAGACCCATGTAATAGTAATCCCTCAGACAATATATTCTGTACTTCTTAAATGAGGCACACAACCAACACAGTAACTATAATAATTTTATGACTGCCTGGCAAAAGGTTGTCCAGTCATTTCAGACAGTCTGTCAGTCTGTCCCTGGAGCCGTTTATGAGAAGGGATCCTTAGCAAGGATCATTTCTCATTTTAAAATAGGGACACTGTGCCAGTAACAGTCATGTGAACAGGTCATGCAGAAGCATAACATATTTCATCTTGAACAGTAAATCTCCATTTTATGACCCACTTTTCTGATTTACTGTAACCTACAAATCTCCCTAAAATTAATTGTTCTGATTCCAAAGAACATATACTTAGGCATAGTCCTTACAAAGACAAGTTGAAAATGCAAATATCTTCAAAATTAATTATTGCCACTAAGTAATATGTCCTTCAAGGGGCACAGGGTTGTTTGAAAGCTCATCAGTGTTGTTAAATAGTTTTATGCAATTGTTTTTGATCATTCACTTTTCTTTACAAAGTGGGGACAGTACATTAATTAAACTTGAGTTAGTAAAAACCTAACAAATGTGCTAATTATCAGATTGTATGTACTTGGCTTTGCTTTCCATGACTGGGACCCAGTGGCGTAACCAGAGTTATCGGCGCCCGGGGCAGAATTTTTTTTCCGCCCCCCCATATTATATAAACATCCACTGGAACTGTACCCCACACATATATATCAGCTAAGGAACTACAAGTCCAAGCATGCCATTATTGTCCCTGTACACCCCCCCCCCCACACACATATCACCCAGGAAACGGCAATATCTGGTTGTTGTATGAGGGCATGCTGGGACTTGTAGTTCCCTAGCTTATATGTTATGAAGCTGTATTCCACCTGAAAGTACTACAATGCCATTATAGAACTAAAAATAGAACATAAAATAAAAAAAAAACATTTTCTAATACTCACCTGATTACTGGATCCACCAACAAGCGCAGCCTCCCATCTCCCATGCTGTTAGAAGCTGCATACAGCATGTTCTGGTTACTACTTAAACAGGCACGCGCTGTGTGCAGCTTCTGGGAAGATACGCTATTAGCATAGCGGGGAAGGCGGCAGTGCATTTTGCATCGCTCCCACTACGCTATTAGCGTAGTGGGAGCCTTAAAGCTGCACACTGCGCGCGCCGGTTTAAGTAGTAACCAGCACACGCTGTATGCAACTTCTAACAGCGTGGGAGATGGGAGGCTACACTTGTTGGATCCAGGAATCAGGTGAGTAGTATTAAAAAAAAAAGTTTTATTTTATGTTCCCGGGGACATTTAAAAATGTCCCCGGATTTTATTTTTAAAAAATGTGTCACCTTACCTTAGCCTGGTGGTCAGTGGGGGCTTCCTGGACCCTGGTTGTGGGGCGGTCTGCCGTGGACCCTGGTTGTGGGGTGGTCTGCCGTGGACCCTGGTTGTGGGGGGTCTGCCGTGGACCCTGGTGCAGTGGCTTCTTCCCTCATGCACATGCACACGGCTGGACAGCCCGCCCGCATCAGATACGGCTCTGTCATCGGGCAGCCGCTCGCTCCTCCGAGGCTCCAGCGGGCGGCCCTCTACAGTGCCTGATTGGGGAGCCGCATCTGCCTGATTCAGCCAGCCCGGATCGCTGCTATGCCCAACACTTTATAGATTTTTCAATATGTTGCATTATAAAATAAAAATAGTGTTTCATCTTTCACATGTATCACTGAATGATGACAAATAGTAAACTGTATCTCTAAACAACACGTTTTATTATTAGTTTTAGATACAGTAGTACAGGGTTAAATCTTCAATAAAGAACTACCTAAAACTTAAGTTGAAAAACTTTTGGCTATAGATACAGCTTAAGAGTAAATAATTTCATAGCCATTTCCAGATATGCCTGGTTTTGTTTTACTTGCATTATGTAGACCTATACATTTTAGTTAAGCTAAAGTTCATTAATTTAAATAGGTATGTATTCAATACCATGATGGTGACATTGTAACATCTGACTATATAAAGTGGGACATTAGCTGGATTTTACAAAGAAAAGAAAACAAATTCTATCCAACACTCTGGCCCTTTTTAATAGCTAAAATGTATGAATATTGTGAAATTTGTACTGTGCTTTACCAAAACCTTTTCCAGAGATGTCCAGGTTACTGTATGAACACATAAATAAACCCATACAAAGATATTACATAACTAAAATATTATGTATATTGAATATATTTTGATGTTTGTTGAATCAGTATGGAGTTTACATGTTCTCCCCATGTGGCTTCCATTCATATTAGCATGTGTGTGTCTATGAATGGCATACTGTTTATATATACTTGTATGGTAGGTACGCCAAGGATTATTTAAAAAAATAAAATAAAAAATATATTTTAGAAAGGCCTTCAAACTCTCCAGACTTAAATAGTATTACAATCTTGGGGTATCTGTTAAATACATGGTTCATGCAAAATGGCATAAGACCTAAATCACAACAATGTAAAATAAAAACAATGGCAAAAACATAAGAATGTAAGCTGGCTATATAAAATGTTTAGACACTGTGACTTTTGCCAAAGAAAGTATTGCTAAATAATGACAGGTCACCCCAACAATTATTCATGCTACAGTGCATTATTTTTTCTCCGTTCTGTTAAATTCAGCCAATCGTAATTGTACATTTGAAGTACTTGGAAAAAAATGCCATATTTAAGATTGTATTCTACAGAGGTTGTATTAAGATTGTAATTTTACCAGGAGTGTCCACAATTCTGAACATAAATATGTAATCAACATTTAAGCATAGATTGTATTGCTTATATAATGAACTTAAAGGCCATTTAGTGGAAGCATGTGTATGTATTCCTGGTATTTATTCTGAGCAGAGTGTTGTCATGTGATGTTCTTTCCATATGTTCAGTAAATAATTCCTGATGGTCATATGCTGTCTGATGTATATACATCAAAGTCATTTAAAGGAAATACATACCACTAGCACCACGGTCAGTGCTGTCAGTAGGTGGGAGGTACCAGATTATCACTAAAAATATCACATTGCTCATTGAGATATTTTAGGAGTTCATACTGACTAGTGCTGAAGCAGTCATTCTTTGACAGACACACAAGCTCTTGGCACTTGTAGCTTTATGTGCTTCAAAGTGAATCCCCAGCATAAAGAAGCAGATAATGCTAGAGAGGACTGCATGAAAAAATCTTTTAGATTCTGGATACATCTGCGGAAAAGTGTTTCAGGTGTTTGTGGAATAACTGATATATGTGCAGGACTCAAAACCCACCTTGTTCTCATAAAATTTCTACCTCATTTACAAAAATGTCTGAAGTCTTTGAAAGAATTCCAAATTAATGGCACACTGAAGGTTGGTCACCATGTAACTCTGAAATGACACCTTGTACTGAACTGTAAATGAGAGCACAAAAGCAACAGAAAGACTGAATGGGATGCTGCAAGTGCATGGATCAACCTAGGATCATCCATACTTATGTGGAAATTATGAAAACCCTTTCTGCTTCTCTCACAGTCACTTCACATACTCAATTTTCTAAAAAGCTTCTGTTTTTTTTCATAAAAAAATACAGATATGAAGCAGAGGCAGCATTCTATGGCAATCTCAAACTTACGGACTTTAATATTATTGACACACTTGGTGTTGGAGGATTTGGGAGAGTTGAACTGGTAAGTCAAAGTTTCTTTAATAAATTTCAAATACAACCAGCTGTTTTGTTAGCTAAACCAACATCTATATAACTCATGAAAATGCTGAAAATTGACTCAGATGCATCAGTTTAATATATCATTCTATATAGTATAATTTCCTGCAGTGCATGATATTTTAAATTAAAGAGTAAACAGGAACTTGTAAAACAAAAAATGTTTTGCACACAAGCCCTACATAGTAGAAGTCAGCACATGATTAGAGTGATTCTTAGTTCCCTGTGGAGAAGATGTCATTTAAACTGGAGCCTCTATACTGACAAGTGCTTGCTGCAAAATGTGCTTTGCATTGTGCTAATTTTCTTTAAAACAATGCAGACTGCAGCTACCGAGGAGCCAAATGCTTGCCCACTGTACTACTTTACTTTGTAAAATGTCCTCATATGCAGAAAAGAATATTATACAAAATGTCTCAAGCTGCACATGCATAAAATGTAATTACTTTTGGGTAATGTGAACAAGATCTTTTTTTTAGTTGGTCAAAAAAGTGAATGAAGACAGAGAATGGTGCAGGTCACTTAAATGCAGAATCTGTTGAATCTATTAGTTTTAATCTGTATCTAATATATTTTTGGCTTTTTAGTATACAGGTTAACCTCTTCTCTCACTGTGTGTCCCCAAATAAAGTGAAAAACATATTAAAAGCAAATTACTACAAAAAAGTAAATCATATATGTTGTTTTTGTTCATCCAAATACTGCAGCATGGATAAAGTGACCTCTATTAGTTAAGTAACCACCATGCTGCAATAAAAAAAAAAAGAAAAGCAAAAACACACACAGTGGGATGTTTGTGAGTTTACTTAAAAAAGCTAAATTTGCTGTGCAAATGTGAACAGGATTCAGCTACTTTGACAGTTACTCATCTGTTGCCCGCAACATTTGGCTACAAGTTTCTAATTAGCTTTTGACAAGGAGTGAACCCTTGAAGCAGTTAGGTAATAAGTTGTGATTTATAACAGTACTGAATGTGTACAGCAGGAGTTTCTGGTATGCAGTACAGCTGGAGAATTCCTGGAACGTTACTGAACAATGCAGCATGGTGTAAACATGGCAACTATCACCAAGGGAAAAGATAGGAGAATTTTAGTAATCCACGACATCAATCCTGACTGTGAAAAGACAGAGGGAGGCAGCTTAGTTGTAAGCAATACTCCACTGTGTAACAGGAATAGAAGAAACAGAAATGTAATTTTAAAAAGTGTGAACAGAGTATTGAAATAATAAGCAGACCATTTTAAAGTGCACCAATCATCTTAAGAGCAAGCTGTATGTTTACAGGTGAAACTCGAATAATTAGAATATCGTGCAAAAGTTCATTTATTTCACTAATGCAACTTAAAAGGTGAAACTAATATATGAGATATGTAGTCAAGAACCAGCTGCACTCCTTACCGGAATAGTAGTAAACCTGCCAAGCAGGTGGGTGCTTGTAGTGACGACGGACGGCCCCGTGAACAATGCAGATCTGGAAAGGATTGTCACCAGCACACCAAAAGTTTTGAAGCAAAAAGTCCTTTATTGACAAATCGCCATCCAGGCTCAGAATGACACAGTAAAGCAAACCATCACCTTTAAATAGACATACCAGTGCATATTAAAAACAGACCACTCCCACCAGTTGCAGCTGGAATACCGTATTTTCCTGCCATTCTGCACTCAAATGAGGCTCACCTGTAATCCACTAATGTACACAGCGAGTTGTAATGATATGGCCGCTGGAAGTAACATCAGCTGGTTGCCTAGGGTACAGGACGCTGGCATGCACAGTGGACAAGTGGCGAACTGCAGTCATAAGCACAATCTGATAGTGCAGACAATGCAGGCAAAAGACATTCCCCATTAACAATCCACATTAGGATAAGATTATGCTGACATTGGTGGAACACATATAAGCCCACAGGCGTAAACATGTGAAGCATATTCATATAGGGACACATCATTTAACGTTGTATTGATATATAATCGCACAAAAGAATACATTTGAGCCAAAAGTTATGGTGTCAAGCACACAGGGGAATGTAAAACAGTAGAGAAGACCGTAAAATCCTATATGTCCAACATTAAGGACAATAACATTATTGCATATACATTGATAACAATCTGGAAACATCTCTATTTGGTCCTCATGAAAAATTATGAGCATGCAGAAAAAAGGCAAACGCAACACGCCCCAAGACCTTGAGGAGCAAGTAGTCGGGCGTGTGGGAGAGGGGTGGTGTAGCAGGGTGTAGTTGTGGGGGGAGGGGGAAAGGGATGGGTAAGCAGTACAGTACACACAACATTGTTGTAGGTACCATTCGGGGGACAGAGCAAACGGAAGGAAGTGAGATAAAAGGTCGCCCAGAGCTGCCAGTGCGTTTCAAGGCCCACTGAAGAACCACAATTGATAGATATAAATCCTATCGTTTCCATAAGTAAAGGAAGAGAAGGACAAACTAAAACAGTTACCCATAGCGTAGTCAGTAGAGAAATCCAATCAGGGTTTTACCGGTCATCCAAAAAGCACGTGAGTGCAAGATTGGAATTTAGGCCCCTTGGTTGGACGCAATCCAGCATATAGATCCAAACGGCTTCTCTCCTGAGAAGTTGTTTTGCCCTGTCCCCACCCCTGGGATGCATGTGAACATGTTCCACAACCATGCCTCTAAGTTTGTGAATTTGCGCGGGATGCTGACTTCATTTTCCAGCAGCTGCCCACACTGCCAAAAGCACCAAAACCTGGTTCAATGACCGTGGGATTACTGTGCTTGATTGGCCAGCAAACTCGCCTGACCTGAACCCCATAGAGAATCTATGGGGCATTGCCAAGAGAAAGATGAGAGACATGAGACAGAACAATGCAGAAGAGCTGAAGGCCGCTATTGAAGCATCCTGGTCTTCCATAACACCTCAGCAGTGCCACAGGCTGATAGCTTCCATGCCACGCCGCATTGAGGCAGTAATTGCTGCAAAAGGGGCCCAAACCAAGTACTGAGTACATATGCATGCTTATACTTTTCAGAGGTCCGATATTGTTCTATGTACAATCCTTGTTTTATTGATTGCATGTAATATTCTTATTTTCTGAGATTGTGGATTTGGGGTTTTCATGAGCTGTAAGCCATAATCATCACAATTATGACAAATCACGGCTTGAACTATCTTGCTTTGCATGTAGTTGAAACTAATAAATGAGTCTATCTCATTTATTAGTTTCACCTTTTAAGTTGCATTAGTGAAATAAATGAACTTTTGCATGATATTCTAATTATTCGAGTTTCACCTGTATCGGGTCTGTGGCACAAAGTATTGAAGCCATACAGAGCTAAACTACTAGTATTTTCAGAAAAAGGCCAATGCTAGAAGCCCCCTGAATGGCAGGTGTGCTTCAAGAACTCTACTTTTAAATGATTTATTTTATTTGGCCAAGCTTGCCCTTCATATCATGCTTCCTTTCTTTGCCCTTTCATAGAAGCCAGTGTAACTGCAAAGATTCATAATTCATAGTTTTTTTAAAAGGAATAAAATATCTGAACATTGCCTGCATCCAATCAGATTGTTCAGGTATTTTGAGAGCCAGTGGGGCCAACTAGCAAGATACGGAAGCTTGGCCCAGCAGGAGATTTTTCCATCTACACAGTTTAGCATAGATGGAGGAATCTGTTGCACTTTTTCCATCTGACCATAGGCTGATAGAAAAAAGTCTATAGTCAATCTATAGGTGTATGGCCAGCTTAACTTGCTTTCCTATCCAAAAATTGTTGGGTATTTT